GGTTAAGGATGGTGTCCAGGGTCTCATGCATGCTACATAAGTGATCTACCATGAAGCCACAACCTCATCTGCATGATTTAAGACAATATGACTTGTCTACCTAGTCCAGATAAAGGTGCAATTCAGGGAAAACACAACAAACAAATAAGGGAGATTGGACTGTGAGCTTCTATTAGATTACAACCTCTATCTTTTCCAAGGATGTCTGTTTTGTTTTTAATTCATCTGATGAATTTAGAGCATTAGTGCCAATTCATATGTTACCAAACTGAATTACTCTTCAAAGAAGGAAAGGCGTTTTATTTTCTTTCTGTATCCCAGGAGAGCATCAGTAAATACCCCTAAAGCATTAAGCCACTCTCAACTGCTAAGTCAAATCACTGAAACTGAACAGGTTCCCAACAGTACATGAAATACCTCTGCTAAAATTAGCTTAGCTCACAACAGTACATGGTGTGGCTATCTTGTTCATGTTAACACTAAGAACACTTTGCTTGGATCAGCAGTAGCCCTCCTGTAAGCAGCAGCTAGGAAGACACGTGATTAAATTACTACTGTAAACAAAAATTCCCCATTAGGGGCTGGGTAGATGGTTTCAATCAAGAAACCTTTGGAGACTGGAGAGGTGACTCAAAAGGGAAAAGCATTTGCTGCTCTTGCAGAGGGTCTGGATTCGGTTTCTAGAACCCATACTGGGCAGCTAACAACTGCCTCTAATTCCAGTTCTGGAGGATCCAACACCCTCTGGCCTTTGGGGCACCCGAATGTACAGAGTGCACATAAACTCATACTGGCAAGCAAACATACACATAAAATAAGTAGTAGATACATTTTTAAAGAAACCCTTATAAATAAACATTTTAATTAATTCATTAATTAGGGTTTTTTTGTTTGTTTGTTTGTTTGTTTTTTGAGACCTAGTTTCTCTACGTAGCCCGGGCTGCCCTGGAACTAACTCTATAGATCAGACTGACCTCGAACTCAGAGACCCACCTGGCTCTACCTCCCAAATGCTGGGATTAAAGGCATACACCACCATGCCTAGCTGAACATTTTATAAAAAAAAAAAAACCAAAACAAAACAAAACAAAAAAACAGTAATAATTGGGTTCAAAGGTTGGCTAAGTAAGAACGCTTGACACCCAAGCTTGACAAACCTGATTTCCCTCATGGAACACCACTGTGGAAGGTGGGACCTAATTCCCCCAAACTAATGATAAACTCAACATAAAAATGTAATTCTGGCCAACCTATATAAAAGATGGAAGAGTTATTTTCAGGTTTGAGGACTACACAATGAGACAAGGAAAATAGGAAAAACTATAATTTGATTAGAACAGATAATTACTTGGACTTTTACTTAAATCTGAAGAATCTATAGAGACAAAAGTGCTGAAAATTATAATTGGTTCTTAGGATGAAAAATAAATGCAGAGAAGGGTTTGGGGACCAGTTAAATATAAAAACCAAGTATCGCCAGATTTTTCCCCCATTACATTTGTCATCAACTTCTTTAAGTTTAAACTTTTCTTATTGTCTCCCTTTTCAGCTCTGATCTCATTAAGTGCTTATCTTTAATCCTGGATGTCTGTTCAATTGTCTTATTTATGTATATGTAATGTATGTGCAGGCATGTGCATCTGTGAGTGTGCCACGTGGAAGCCATAGACTGATGCTGGGTGTCTTCATTTATTCTTCTCTGCCTTTTATTTTAAGGTTAAAAACTGAAAGATTGTTTTTATTTTGTGTATATATGTATGAATGCCCACATGCATGTACGTGCACCATGTCTGTGTCTGGCGCCCACAGAAGCTAGAAGAGGGTATCAGATACCCTGGCACTAGAGTTACAGGAGGCTGTGGGCCGCCATGTGTGTGCAACCGCAGCAAGTGCTCTCAACTGCTAAGATGCATCTCCAGTCATAGACACCTTAGTTTTTGAGAAGGATCTCTCAATGAACACAAACCTCGCTGATTGGTCAGACTGACTGGCCAGCGAGCCCCTAGATCAGCTGTCTTAGTACCCCCAGTGCTGGGGTTACAGGTGCACATGGCTAAACCCAGTTTTTATGTGAGTGCTGGAGATTTTCCTTGTGCTGTCCAGCAGGAACTTTATCCATTGAGGAGCCGTCTCTACAGCCTAGTTACAATTCTTTAAGGAGAAGAGGGAACACAGTTTCACTGTATAGCTCTGGCTGGCCTGGAACTCTATGTAGACCATGCTGGCCTTGAACTCACAGAGGTCCATTTGCCTCTGTTTCAGCATGTAGACAGGATAGACAGCGTTTTTCTTTAAAGGGTCTTTGTTTTTATTTCTTGTCCCAATGTTCCCTCTATTCAATACTTCTTTCACATTATAAATTGCCTTCTAAGATAATATGATCACATCATTATCAAACACACACACACACACACACACACACACACACACACACACAAAGGATGGATTTACTGGTTTATCTAGTGTTACAGAATGAAACCTGTTAGTCTTAGTAAACCCTCCAGTTTGTTTCTTCAAGCCACTTAGCTGAATTTCCATCTTGGGCTAGTTTTCACTGGGTTTAAGAATTAGCCAGTAAGCATTTATTAATGTTGTACATAGCACTTAGTCTTTAAGAAAGTCACAAACCTCAGCCTCCAGTTGGGTACTGTACCACCACAAAGCTTCCGACTCGACTTCGCTGATCAGCACTTAGTTGATCAGTGATCAAACCACAGAGGAAGCAAAAAATTAAAGAAAGCCTTCACTAAGGTGGCAGCATCTTAACTGAAAGTTGAACACACAGAATGGCAGTAAAAGGGACAACGTATATGGAGGGATCTGACAGGGGCAGAGAAGTAAGCATGGCCATAAGAAAGGCCACCAGGGATGGAACGAACAGGACAGACAGGAAAGCTGTAAAGATTCAGACACTAAAGACAGGGAACCGCAAGATTCACTCGTGGCAAGAAAAAGTACAGTGCCATCCGCCATCCAGAATGCCTTGGAAGCCAGGCAGGGGTTTTAGAATCATAAATCAAAAGGAAGGTTAAAAAGATGACTTGGGTTTTCTCTCTCTCTGTCTCTCTGTCTCTCTCTCTTTCTCACACACACACACACACACACACACACACACACACACACACACACACACACACACACACACACACATTTGGTTAGATGGAAAAGACTAACAGGGAGAGATACCAGAAAGGAATTACAGACTTTAAAGAGAGATGACAGTTAAAGAGGAGACATCATTAAGAATGCTTAAGAGTCTAGGCTGGGAAAACTGAAGAGAGGTTTGAGAAAGGGGGGTGGTTTAGAACACGTGCGAGGAAAGTATAAACAACAGAACTACCCCATGACTAGTCTGCAGGACAGTGTCAGAACCCCAGGGAATGAACTGTAAGCAGAAAGATAATACCTTGCTGCTACTTAGGGCTCTATCCCTACAAAACTAGGTATTACTAATTTACATCTTCAAACTGAATGCCACAGGAAAGTAACACATCTTTACAAGGATATTAATGCTTAATATTAATATAGTTTGTCCAACATCAGTTTATTAGCAGCCAAGCAAAGGCAAAGTTGCTCTTCAACCCTTGTCATGATACGTGATTCAAAGGCTTCCAAGGAGAAAGTGACTCTCGAAGTCTTTGTTTCCAAGAGTCCTCAGCATAGAAGAAAGAGATGAGGCCATGAGAAGGCTTAACTATTTGATGGGAAAAAAAGAGGGAAACCAAGAGGACACTGGCAATTCAATGTGGCAGGAAGAGGTCCCAATGAGAGAGACCACACTGACAGGAATGCAGATGATAGCAGAGGAGGAAAAAATCAAAACCAGGAAAAGTGCAGTCAGGAGAACCGGAGTTGAAGCCAGGACTCAGTGATCTAAAACCCCAAACAAATCGAAGAGGACCATTCAGCATCAAGGGAACAGAGTAGATGGTAGATGGTTGTAGTTAAAAAAAAATGTAACTTTTAAAAATTAAAAAAAATTCTTCTAGATGCTTGTCAATTTTTGTTTAATAAGTTCACTGGAGGGCTGATTTCTGTCTTGATGCATTAAAAACTTTCTATTTGTATTTTACAAGTTATATTTATAAATTATAAGTGAAATATTTCCATTACTAAAAGTAAAGTTATCTGTTAGCTTGTCTTATAGAACTGCTGTTTGATCTTTGATCTTACTTTTATTTATATCTTCTGATCATGCTGGGATTCGAACCCAAAAACCTTGCTTGTATAGGCAAGCACTTTACCACTGAGCTACATCCCTAGCTCAATATAGTTCTTTAAATGATAGCTCAAATACTTTTCAACATCACCTGATCGGATTTCCCACTTTTTATTTGGCTTTATCTTCCACTTGCTTGAGAGGCTTCTGATAAAGTAAGCAATAGCTACTCTACTATACTTACATACTATACTATGCTATACAGTACTATGCTTTACCAATGCTAAGTTCAATAAAGGAAAAGAGTGTGCTCTAAAAAGGAACACTACAGATTATATACAAAACTAAATTATACATGATTTAACAGGTTGTAACAATAAATGCTATTACAAATAGCACAGTCAATATTCTAACTGCATTTGTAGTTTCTACCTCTCTCTGGAGACTGAATCCAGTTCTTGCAGACTAGGCAAAGGTTCTGTCCATGAGTGACTTTCCATGCCCTGTAGTTTCTGCATTAGGTGATGGTTTGACTGAGCTATCATTGTTCTAATATGACATACATATTCTTAAACAACATATACCTTCATTAGTCACCACTAATTTGGAACACAGTATCTTGACACAAATCAAGCTAAAATCTAGGAAATCTAACTTTAAGGTAGGTGTGTGTGTGTGTGTGTTCATGCAGAGATTTAATGTGAGGCTCGTTTATATTAAACATACCTTCTATCACTGAGCTACCCATCACCCTCAGTCCCTAACCTTAAGTTAAAAAATTTAATAGCTTGTCAATGCATTAAAAGATGCAAAAGAGCTAACCAAACTACTTGTGACTGACCTTGCTCAAGTCGGAAGAGGGTCTTCTCTAGCTTTTCCATTTCGTTCAGTAGTAAAATTCGAATCTGTTTACTGCGCTCCATTTTGGCGGCCGGAGGATTTGAACTCTTTCCGTAGAATTAAAAGGACTCCAAAGTGGAATGAGTTACCCCTGTAAATCAAAAGGTAATTAGGAAAAAGAAAATACGAGCTAAAACTCTCTAGCGTTGACAGCAGCACTTACATGTCCTAGATAGATTCAAAGCCCAGAAAAGCAATGAGAAAGAATGAAATCTTGTTGGTAAAATCCAACAAGGGAGAAGAGTTTCTTCTCTCTTAGAGCAGAATAAGAAAGCTTGAAGCAAAAATGTATTTTCTTACAGTCAAAACAGAATAGACCAAAAAGCTAAAGCATTCTCAGAGAAAAGCAACGCATCTGGGAAAGCCTGGAGCTCAGGGGGCAAAAATTCCGTCCTGAGCCAGATGGCCCTGAAAGCTCCAAATGGCACTGCAGCCTCTGGAGATCAGGCTGCTCAGTGAACAGGTGGAAGAGCTCCCCACTCCCAAATTCGGGTCTGAAGCCACCAATGGGGACGTGATTAGAGAAGGAAGCAGTTGCTGCCCCGGGAATAGCTGCGGCGGCATTCGATGTACAGAGCGGCTATAGATAGCAAGAATGCGCGTCCACAGCCGGATGCATTCCAGGCACTTACGAGCGGGACAGACATGCGGCGTCGGGAGCGGGAGCCGGCACAGAGGGAACGCCGGGCCGATCGGCAGCCCGGGGAGGGCAGGGCGCAGTGAAGGGCAAGGGGAGGGACACCCGGACCCAGGCCAGGTGACAGTGATGAGGCGGGGCAGCTCGAGACTCCGCCCCGCGCGTCCAGAAGACGCCCAACTCCGCTCGGCCGAGGGACTAGCCCAGGGGGCGTGGCCCTGCCTCCCCGCCCACTTCCGGGACCTTCACTCCCGCTAGCACAGACCGCTGGTCTCGCGAGAGGTGGGCGTGTCGGGGGTTTGAGGGGTCTGGGTCTTGGTGGAGCCTTGTATGGTCATCCAAGCCCCTGATGCAGCATCACTGTTCCTGTCCAGGAAAAGTGAGTTAAAGAGCAAAGATGATAAGAGGGGACAGGGTTAAGGGACGTTCTCTCTCTAGAGAAAATGCAAGTTAGGAGAAAACAATTTCTTAACACATTGTGCAAGTCATCTAACTTCGCTGCAGCCTAAAACCTGAAATGTTATAGACACCTCCCTACACACACACACACACACACACACACACAAATAAATAAATAAAACACGAGAAATATTTCAGAAAATCATGTATAGTCAATCCAATGAGTGAAATTCCCTGTGATGGTTTTAATGTTAACTTGCCACAGACTAGTCACTGGGAAGAGAGAACCCCCAGCTAAGGAACTGCCTCCATCAGATTGGCCTGTGGGCGTGTCTGTGGGGGTGTTTACTTGTTCTATGATTGTTGTGGGAGGTGAATGAGTGGTACCACTCCTGGCTGAGCAAACATGAGGGGCAAACCAGTAAGCTGCAATTTTCCATGCTCTCCGATTTAGGTCCTGTCTCCTTACCTTGAGTTCCCGCTTTGACTTCCCCCAATAAGGGACTGTGATCAGGAAGTATAAGCCAGATAAACACTTTCTTCCACCAACTTGCTTTTGGTCAGGGTTTTATCAAAACAAGCATACATTTTTGTTACCACTGACTTAAAGGTAAGGAAACCAAGGACCCAAAAGGTTAAGTAACTTGTTAAAGGCCACTTAATGAACACTGGAATGAATGTGATTTCAAGTGCATTCTTAGTGATTTCTGTCCAGTAAACTCTTTATGTGAGGGCACCGACATTATTTCCATGGCTTGGTAAGTTGGAAGATCGAGTTTGCTTTCTAGCTTGTAAGGGCATTCTGGCTTCTCTGTGACAGTCATCTCAGGATTTTTCTTGTCTGCCTGCCCTGTTTCTCTTCTGTGTGTAGGTTTGGTGCTTTTAGACTTCTCCTCTCCTGGGCTCTTAGGAAGTGTGGAGGCCAGAGTGTGCACTCTGTGAGCAGACTCAAAATCCTTGCTTGACCTTAAAATCCCCTAGTTCAAGGCTGCCGGTTTAGCTGAGCAGCACAGCAGGTCTTCTTATGAGGAGGATTGACGGGTGGGAGCATGTGATCCAACTACCACACTCTATTGCTTGCAGTGTGATGGGTTTCTGAGTTTTTTTTTTTTAACTTAGATCAACCTAAGTTTTCTGATCCCCGGGTTTCTCATCTGAAATAAGGAACATACCCACACCTCTGACTTTTCATCGGGTATAGATTCATCAGACTGCCCCGTGGCCAGCTCCTTATACTGCCCCTTTTGGCTGGTGTTCTCCAGGCCTCCAAAACTAGCCTCTCCCATTGTCCTGTCTCCAGAAAAACTCTCTCTAAAGTGCCCAAATCTCAAATAAATAAAAGGAGCAAAGTAGGTTGGGGACATAATGCTTTTTTTTTTTTTTTTTGGAAGTGAGTTATTCTGATGAAAATGCTAGATTTTTTTTCAAGATTTGTGAACTCAGCTTTGAAAATTTCGGGTTGTGAAATAAAGGGAATGATAAATGACAGACAGCTGATTTGGTAGGATGTGCCTCAAAGGGTAATTTTATAAGACACATAATATGTTTTTTAAGGAGAGACGTCACAGGAATGTGCTATCTGTGAAGTTCTTGGAACCCCAATGATTGTAGTTCACCGTACCATAGCGCCGTGTGCATGCCAGGGACCATTGGTCACATTTGTGGTGTCCTTTGCAAGCAGGATCTATAGACACACAACAGTTGCATGCTGTAGCTGTCAGGAGGAAGTCCTTGAGGACCTTCTAATAGATAATCTGAGCTACTTTGTAGCAATACTGATATTTCCTCCAACAGTGATGTTAGTGGGGGGAGAAAGTCATTGGTCAGAAGAGGCTCTGACGGGCTTTGTGCGTATGTGTCTATGTTTCCTAAGAGGAAGTAGTTTTAAGAGAGTGTGCTGGCTACTGTATGTCAACTTAACACTAGCTCTTAAGTCACCTGAGAGGAGGGAGCTTCAACTGAGAAAATGCTTCAATAAGATCAGGTTACAGAATGGCCTGTAGGGCAATTTTGTGATTAGTGATTGATGTGAGAGGACCCAGTCCACTGTTGGTGGTGCCATCCCCGGGTAGGTGGTCCTGGGTTCTATAAGAAAACAGGCTGAGCAAGCCATGGGAAGCAAGCCAGTAAGCAACACCCCTCCATGTCCTCTGCGTCAGTTCCCGACTCCAGGTTCCTGCCCTGTTTGAGTTCCTGTCCTGACTTCCATCAGTGATGAACAGTGATACAGTATCATCCAAATAAACCCTTTCCCCCCTAAGATGCTTTGGCCATGGTGTTTCATCAAAGCAACAGTAACCCTAACTATGACTGGGCATTAGGTATGATTAGGTTCTAATCCTATGATTGTCTATATCTGAAAATGCATGACCTGCCTTATTTTATATAATCTTCATTAGTTTTTTCTTTTTTAATTAGTATGCAATGCCATATTTTTTAAAATAAAAAATTAATTTTGTTACTCATTTTTTTCTAAAATGGATATGATTTATTCTGCTTTTTTGCAATACCCAGCTACAGCCAATGAAGAGAAAGGGGGAATATAGGAAAATGAAGTAGGATTGCTGTCTGAGAAACAGGAGGACCTGGATATTGTGCTAAGAGGTGAGGAAAACCACAGAGATGGTTTTCAAAATGGAGGCTACACAATTGAAGGATAATGGATTTTGGAGGCAAACAAACCTTGGATTGGTTTTTAATGCCTCTGAATTAGTGATTAACCTGTAAAATCGAGAAAACATTTCATTGTCAGGATCAGATGTGAAATTAGATGAAATTCAGAATGCAAATGAAATCAAGCTTGATGATGCCTGAGGTTTGAGGACTGAGCCATGAGTTCTAGGCCAGCTTGGGCTACATAGTAAATTTAAGGCTGCAGAGTGATACTCTGTCTCAAGAAAAAATATAATAAAAAAGTAACGTTGGTTTCTAAGTGTCATTTAACTGTATGGTATAGCTTTGAGGGGGTAAGTGGTGTTTAGCTGTCCCTATTGGGCCAATGATGCTGTCAAACAAACCAGATGAAAATACTCTGAGACAGGACAGAGGCAAAAGGGTCCAAAAAGAATCTTTACCCTGAGAAGAGGGAATTTGATCCTAAACCATCGAAATCAGGAAGGGCGGAACCTAAGAACAAAATAAAGATTAGCCAGCAATAACTATGTTTAAAAAAAAACATATAGAGGGACTGGGGACCGACAAAGTGGTTAAGAGCACTGGTTATTCTTTCAGAGGATTTGGGCTCCATTCCCAGCAGCCACATAGAGGCTGACAACTGTCCGTAACTCCAGTTCCCAGGGATCTCACACCCTCGTCTGGCCACAGTGGGTACCAGGTATGCCACATGATACACATATATGTGGAGGCCAACACACACATAGAAAAGTCTAAAAAAAGAAAAATCATTTAAAAATTCCCAAGCACTGATATAACAAATTACCTAAAGAGTCTATGGGATACTTCTAAATACCAGGATTTCGTGGTGTGGTTTTCTTTGTTACCCCCTATGAAAGATCTTTAAGTGTTCCTCAATTTAAAACCGAATAATTTTACCCTTTCAAGAAGTTTTAACTTTCTGTTACAACCACAGTTTCCATAATGCAGGACTTACAGTTCAAGGAATCTGATATCTTCCCCTTGATACTGAAGTCATGTACAGTCTATGGACATACCATCCTGAAGGGGTCCAGTCGTGTCTGAAGTCATCTACACTCATGTAGAGCACACAGGCTCGCCTGTGCTAACATACATAAACTTAGGGTTTTTAAATTAAAAATGAGCTTACTATTTTACAGATATTCTCAGGTAATTAAGCAAAACCAAGCACTAGGCCGGGCGGTGGTGGCGCACGCCTTTAATCCCAGCACTCGGGAGGCAGAGGCAGGTGGATCTCTGTGAGTTCGAGGCCGGGCTGGACCGATAGCCTCCGAAACAATACAGAGAAATCCTGTCTCGAAAAAACCAAAAAAAAAAAAAAAAAAAAAAAACAAACCAAAAACCAAAAACAAAACAAAACAAAACAAACAAACAAACAAACAAAACCAAGCACTAAACTGATGGAGTGAATGTTAGTTGATTTTCTTGAATGTGACATTGACACAGCATTCTTTAAGCATCCCTAGTTGTACACATTGTGTGTGTGTGTGTGTGTGTGTGTGTGTGTGTGTGTGTGTGTGTGTGATGGAAGGGCTGAGACAAGAAGGATCTGTGATCTCTCCTGAGTCTGAAAATATACATGTCTTACGAATTTTTTTTTCCAGACATGGTTTCTCTGTATTGTTTTGGAGGCTGTCCTGGAATTCACTCTGTAGACCAGGCTGGCCTGGAATTCACAGATATCCACCTGCCTCTGCCTACCGAGTGCTGGGATTAAAGACGTGCGTCACTAACACCCGGCAAGTGAATATTTTTAAGGGTGTGTGTGTGTGTGTGTGTGTGTGTGGTTGTCTTGGTTAGTTTTATTGCTGTGAAAAGACACCATGATCATGGCAACTTTTATATAGGAAAGCACTTATTTGGGGCTGGCTTGTGGTTTCAGAGGTTTAGTCCATTGTCATCATGATGGGAAGCATGGTGTCAAGTAAGCAGACATGGTGCTGGAGAAATAGCACAGAACAGGGTGACGGTGGTGGTGGCAGTGGGGGTGCACGCTTTTAATCCCAGTACTCGGGAGGCAGAGGCAGGCAGATCTCTGTGAGTTCGAGACTAGCCTGGTCTACAAGAGAAATAGCACAAAGTTCT